ATGGCTACCTAATCCACAACAGCAGAAGTTCAGAAGTAGCTAGAGAGTAGCCGTGGAGCCATCCTGAAATTTCACCACCAGATTGAGTCGTGAAATGACCATTATTGAGCGTAGTACCCACCAATGCATTATTACTCCGTACCACAAAGACAATCCTGCCCACGCGAATGCTGAAAACTGTGTAGGAAAAAGACCCCACAATTGCATTTGCCAGGACGCCAAGACGGAAGCACTTAACAGGCCCAAGCCGGGCCCAAGCCCAGCTGAAAGCGCGGGCCTGGCCCGGGTAAAGTACTGCTAGATCGAGCTCGGGCCCATGAGATATGGGCTGAGGTGGAGCTAGGTCCTCATTCAGACCCGTATTAGGCCCGGGTCTCATGCATATCGGTGTCATGGCGTGTGTACACTGTCCGGCTTTGTTTTGCAACTTGATATTCCACTTAATTTGTCGACTGAAAAGCTTATGCCTCCTGAAAGCAAACCTACTGAAGCAGTAGAATATGTCTGATACACGTAAAATGTCCATTAACATGGGCGTTCTCCCTATTGAAAATTCGCTTCCTATTTAGCTACCATCTTTGCCTCCCCAGCATAGCCACCCCTTTTTCGTTTCTCCTACACATGTCATTCTCCTCCACTGTCGCCGCCGCGAGCTCGAAGTTTGCAACTACAACCACGAGCTAGTGGCTTCCAGCCTTCACTGCCATGTTTGCACCGAGGCCTTCGGCCATCGGCGACTGGGGAATATGCTCTACCGATTTTGTTCTTGTAGGAGATCACTTTCGGACACCCGACATGCCCCATTAGATGGGGAGCACTAATGAAGTTGCCGGTTGATTCACTTCGGCACTCTAATACAAAGTTCTTTAAGCCCTTAGCCCGTTATTGCTTTCAAAGATCGAAGGCAGTCACATGAAGACGACAATATAGGGATTTTCAGCGAACAGCGAAGAAGGAGGCTCGGTCGCTGACGGGGTGGGCTCGCTTTGACGTATCTATGACACTCTAGTGGCAGCAATCGAGGAAAAAATGTGGATCAAAGAACATTTTTGTTTTGAGCAGAAAAACACAAAGTACGTTGGGGACAGTTGTCTGGCGGAGAGTCTACGCGACCGCTTTTATTCATGTCACGCTGCCAAGCCTGATGTATTTCTCACGAAAGCAGCTACAGCGCATTTTTTCCTATGGCATTGCGCAGTAACTTAAGTTCGTAAAAGACGGTATTATTACTCAACAGCCCCAGCTGGTATGCAAATTTAATTGGCCCAAACTGCAAATGCCTGCCTTTTTTGCAATATGTGTGGTGTTATATTTTGTAGTCATTCTTTGAAATACAAAAGTAAGACTGCGTGACTAACACTGCGTACAGGAGACAGCTAGGTATGACTCCAATTATAGTTTATATTTCCCTGGAATTACTTCGCAATAGTGCTACGGCGGTAGTTACACGAAAGTATGCACCACAGCACCAGAGAAAGCCATTACAATGACAGAAGTTAGAAGCACACTAGAAAATATCATGTGTGCGGCAGGTCTCTTTACGATAAGCTAAGATCAGACAGTGCCTCGTTTATGCTGCAGTTATATTTGGCTGAAACAGGCAAGGCCGGGCCGGGCCCAAAATTTTTGGACGTGGGCCGTGTACGGGTCATATTTGAAAACACCGGGCTGGGCACGGGTGTGCCGTAGCATGGCGCTTTCGTGCCGCGGGCCGGGCCAGGGCTAAAAAAAAAAACGGCACGTGCAGTGCTCTGGTCGTCCATTGCAGTTACACTGTTGACAGTCGGTTTTTATGGGAATTTTAACCTCTATACATGATGCCATTTAAGACTCAATATACATCAAAATGCTGCATTTCTCAAATATATACTCCAATATTGTCACTAGATTTATGCTTCATGCATTCCCACCCTGCTTCTGCCATTTATTATACGAGCTCCTTTGAATGTATTTCCTACATAGTCATGTACACTTCTTCTGAAAAAGTTCACCGTAAATGGCAATACAGCGTAATGCGAATTCTGAGCGCAGCTTCATGTTGGATCAAGGCCAACTGTGTTTAAAATATCACCTTTCCACAAGGTATCTACTATGCCATAAATAGCAATCTTTCTGAAGTAGGACATTATCCACTACGCTATTATTCGTCTTTTTAGCGAGGTACCCGCTTCACATCTGTAATGTAAGATGTGGCCTTAAAACTGTTGATGCTGTATGTGGCTGATGGCGAGAAAAGATCATGACTGACCATTCTGCACTGAGTGGAGAGCATACAGCCGCACACCGTTTGCATATATAACATTGGTAGACATCTGGTTTATGGGGCGAAGCTCCTTAAAGGGGCCCTACAACACTTTTTGAGCAGGGTAAGAAAACACGACCGAATGGTAGTAGAGGCTCCCGACAACACGCGAGCCAAATATAATAGCGCAGAACGTGGCCTGGAATTCAACATAAATTACCGAAGTGAAATAAAAACAGCGTTTTCTCGACAAATCACGCAATTTACCCAGAAATCATACGTAGGTAGCCCATCTATCAGCCATTGGCTAATTTGAACATGGCGCGCCCACTCGTTACAGAAATAACGGCGGGATGCCGCCACTTGTCCACGGGCGAGCGCGCAATCATACTAAAAAGCCACGTATTCAAAGAAAAAAAAGTGCTCAATGTCATAATGCTCACGTGACGACGTTTCTCTGTGCCCCTTTTATCCCTCTCTGCTTAGCTTCCAGCGCTTTCGTAGGGACGAGGGAAGAGAGAGTGCGATTGCAGTGTGTGACAAATCTTTTTAACTCCGCTCATACTGGACGTATTGTTAAAATTTTTGCGGCGTTGAATTCGTGAGGATATGAGCTCTTCCAGTGAATTCATTTCATATTTGATTAAAAGAGTGTTTTAGGGCCCCTTTATGGCGTGGGCCTCTCCACCCCTTATTAGTATGTAGAAGTACATAGCCACCGGTGGCACATAGCCGCTCTAGAACAGGTATGTGCCACCGGGAAGGCAAGATGGGAGATGGCGGTACTTGGAGTGTTTGCTAGATAGATGAACGGACTGATGGACAGCTAGAGTAGCAGACGGATGGACGGATATATAAACGCGTGGACGTACAAACGAATCAACGCACAAACAAACAGAGACAGACAGGGAGATCGATGGACGGATTCATGGACGGACGCAGGGACAGACGGATAGAGGCATGGATGTACACATGGGTAGCCACGCGGACGGACGGAAGTACGAATGAACGTATAAACGGAAACACGGACGGCCTCATGGACACTTCGCCCCACTCATAATCATTCACTCTGCGGATATGCTGTGATTTTTCATTTTACTTCTCTGACACGCTATATTACAAGCAGGTTAACGCGATTTGTTGGTAGACAAGGCACGTGTAATGAGGTCTTCTGAGTTTCAAGCTCTATAGTTGCTCTATGACGGAATACTCGACTGCCACGCGGAGGGCTCACGTTCCAATCCTTTAACTTGGGTATTTTTGAAGACGATAGTCTTTCTTGGGAACCTTCAATGCAAAAATTTTGGTCTGTCTGTCTGTCTGTCTGTCTGTCTGTCTGTCTGTCTGTCTGTCTGTCTGTCTGTCTGTCCGTACAAATGTCTGTCTGTCCACTCTTAATGGCACCGAGTATTTGAAATGGCCGACCCCCTCCGCAGCGCCCACCAATGTTGCTAAAGATTTAGCGTTCACGATTGTGCAAATGTCAAACAAAAAGCAATTATTGCGCATGTATGAGGCACCATAACAGCACGTATATAATCTGAATGTGCGTCTTTTCCAAGGAAAGGCATACCTAAATAGTTTCAGGAGCATAGCACTTATCACGCTGCTCTGACCATGCAACGCTTGCACGAAAAGGCGAGTGTTTCCAACGCTTTGCCTAGACGAGACGGTGGTGGCACCGAACCGTCGCCTTGTGTTCGACACCTTATCACTTCTGAGACGGGCGCGCACACCCGTCTCAGAGCCACGTGCTTCGTTTTCCAAGAAAACTGCCAGATGGCGCTCATGTCTCGCGTGTGACGTGACTTGAAGCACCCGTTTGCCTCCACTGCACGCTCGAAGCACTCTAACGCAGCGTCTCCTGAATACCATTCACCAATTTTTTTTTTCGCAGAACACCAAAGAAATGTTTCGGTAACTCGCTCCACAAATAACGCATCAAACGCATTATTCGAAGGTCGTGGGTTCGATTCCTGCTCACAGCTGGTAATTTTTTCATCCACTTTTCTTTCTTCTTTCTTCTTATTTACATTCCATTGGTTCTAATAACTTCCCCTGTACATTCCTTGGCATTACTGTCTGTTATATCTCATATATATATATATATATATATATATATATATATATATAGATATATATATATATATATATATATATATATATATATATATATATATATATATATATATATATGTATATATATATACATGCCAAAAAGTGGGTGAAACTTGACGTGGGCAGGAACCGCGGCAAAAAGCGCGGTTCCTGTTTCCCACGTTTAAACTCACATAACTCACATATATATCCAATGAAGGGGGGGGGGGGATAGTTGCCGCGGTAGCTCAGTGGTAGAGCATCGAAGGCGTTGTTCGAAGGTCGCAGGTTTGGTTCCTGCCTATGGCAAGTTATCTTTTCGGTCACCCACTTTTTTTCTCGACATTTCCATTAGGATTCGGTCTAATAAATTCCCCTGTAATTTTCTTAGCACTATTGTCTGGTATATCCCAATAATATTGTAATTGTATCTAACAGGATGAAACGAGCCCTTAAATATACACTTTTTACTTATATATATATATATATATATATATATATATATATATATATATATATATATATATATATATATATTATATATATATATATATATATATATATATATATATATATATATATATATATATATATTTCATGATATATATTATCTCATTGGAATAACGTAAAAAAAGCGCTTCGCGACCACTTCTCGTTGCAGGCATCGACCTTGAACAGTCATTGTTTAAGGTTCTCCGTCCAACAGGAGAACGCGGCAAGGAAGAAACCGGGAGCGGTAAGAAGGCCGTGGATGCTGGGGCCCCAGGCGGGAAAATGCCCAAAAAAACTGCTCTTCGGCGATCGTGCCGAATTCGTCGGCCACCGATGAGGTACCAGCCGTAAGGGTTATGAGGGACTCTGAAATAAATGATGGAGAGGAAAGATTATGAGTGGGACGTTATAGTTCACAAAAGAAACAATATAGCGCTTGTTGTTGTCGTCTGTTTAAGGAAACACTAACCTAAAAACCGGCGCATAATTTTTTGTGCCTGCTGTCACTCATGATTCACATTCGGAATCACTATTTGATCGCACTTCAAATGCAATGCACGGGTGTACAAGAGTGCACCGCTGCAGTTCCTCTCTGCTGTATTTTTCCACTTTTCTGCGAACAGCGTATTATACACGAACGTCAGCAACAGTCGTTGAGCGGTCATCATCGACAAAGAGATCCAACAGAGTTGGGACATCTTATTTGAAGACCTTATACGAGTGACGCCATTGACTCAGGCGCTCGTGCAAACTAAGTTCCAGTATATGGACACTTTATGCCCCATGGTACTCTCTGCCTCATTTTTTTTAATTGATAGCACACAACATCAAATTTCTCTTAATAAACCTGAACTTAATCAGCAAGTCGTGCACAATTCGAAGTTGTGAAATTATAGCTTCTGACAACTCGTCCACTTTTTATAGTATTTTCTCAAGAGCGAAAAAATGGCACGCCAGTAGTCCAGAACATCTAACGCTTCATAAAAAGAGAACTACGAAGAAGGATATACACGGCGACTTGGTGGCCGTGCACATGGCCACGCGACCTAATTTCCGTGTAGTTCCCGTGACGTTTTCAACCGGGCCGCAAGAAATACAGTAAAATCTTGAACTTCTAGTATTGACCTTGCCTGAATACCATCCTCAAGTGCACAGGTAAGTAAATTATAGAGGCCAAACCTGATGATGTAAAAAGATCGCTTAGAAAATGCCCTTCTGTGAAGAATGGAACAGGGTCGTACTTTCTGTTAAAATTAGAGTTCATCAGATAAATTTCAATTGTAAAACAAATTATCACAAGTATTTATCTGAGTTTTCAGTATTGATCTAAAATCAATGTGTACCACTTATGTTCCATAAAGCAGCAGACATGCATTCGCGTACTGCGTGTTGTTCGCGCACAAATGTCGATTGTTGGTCGCAGTGACTTGCCGGACGAATCTTCGTACTTAAAGCCCTTTCACAAGGCACTTTAGCTGTGCATGGCGCTGTCCGACTCCCAGGCGGTTTTGACGGATGCTTCCGCGCGCTACGCTCACGCACTAAAGCTGACAGCACCGTCTCCTCTTGCCCGCTTGCCACAGGTGACAGGCGTGACGTTGACGCCGCCTTCCCGACAGCGAACTAACCCAAGGGCTTCTACGCCCGCCGGCTCGTCGAATCTTCCTCGAGTCAGTTGGATTTGACCCCCTATTTCGTGATGGTACCAACCACACATGAAGATGAAGCAGGCTCAAGCAGGGCTGAAATAAAATGGCTGCCATAATTCCCGTCAAACAAGAAACGTCTTTAGCGCTAAGAATGTCTGCTCGTCTCTCAAGTGATGAATCATTCGGTACGTCCTCATATTTGATGAGAAGACGGAAGCCTTGGGGTACAATGTATGTACAAATATTTTTCGTTTGTAAGTCACTTTTTCGCTGGCTTGTTGCCATCTCCGATATATTCAACATCGTGGCGCCAAACTCAAAGCTTTCAGTTCTTGAGTGCTCACTTCCCATTGGTCGGCTGTCTCTCTTAATTATGTGTCAAGTGCGGCAAGATGGGAATGTTGGTTCAAACGAGTTCAAGTGACAAGTGAACAAAAAATGGAGTCAGAGAGAGCCGTAGGTAGGACAACCGCTAGCTTCTTTTGCTCTGTTTTAATACTTTAGTCTTTGGACGTTACGTACATATCCCATATCAGGATTGACAGGTGCCTTTGATTACAAAGAGTTCTATTGATTAATTTTTTTTTCATTCATTTTTAGCACCTACTGCCCATCTCGTTAGCGATTATGGCAAGAAAGACGCCAGCTATAAATAAAGAGTTGTCAATAATTAAATGAAAGATAATGCAATACAACAGATAAGCTTTCTTTCTGATAGGGAATGTGAAAATCAATATGAAAATTCATACGTGCCAAACATCTATATAGAATTGTGAAGCCTCACTGCACAACGCTGACACATCATATCATACCAATAGAATAACGATTATACGATCTTAGTGACACATCGGTACGTAAAGTACAAAAAAAGCATACAGCCTCATTGTAGGCAGTGGCATGGAGGGGGCAGCTCAATAAATACTACTAATAATATACTACGTCGATAAGGAATGGCGTGAAATATTTGTAGTTTTATGTTTATGCATTATGCAAGCAAATTTCAAATAGTGATAGATAGGTAGTTAGTGCGGAGATATTGTCGATAGTGGAATAAGTCATGACTGTGCCTTATGGTTAGCAGGAAGAAGCAGCATTTAACAATCAGTATGAAAGCGATCTTCATCTGGGTGTATCAGTGATTCAGTCGAGTTAGTCATGGGTCTACAATGTAGATGTATTTAGAAATTTTAACATTTAACTTGTTATGAGACAATTGATGAAGCAATTTCAATCGGGAGATTTTGAGTAAAACATTTGAAGAGGTTGTGCGTTCATATTTATTGAAGAGAAATTTCGTTGATTTTCTTTGCACTCCTTTTATTAAGGTGAAAACCTTAACGCCGATGAAAACCAAGCCATGGGAGCCTACTCTAATTCTGTCCTTATGAGTTCTTACTTCAGCTTTTCTGGTTTCTGTGAATATAAAGCACTTACGAGACATTTTGAAGCTTGCCACCCTCTACTAGCACTGGGGTCCAAGCGATAGCCGACACACTACCCTAAACAAGCCTTGAAATGGAAACCACAGGTGAACAGCACGAGAAAAAAGGAATTCCTTGTTATCATGGCAGCTCGACAACTTTTGCTAGGATAAAACAAATGTAGTCGAAAGACGATAGTCTCGCGTCTGGAGAGACTGAACAAAACGTTTATTTGATGTTCTGCGCAAGAACATCGGTGAAGGGTATTCTGGAGGCGCTGCGTTAGAGTGCCTCGAGTGTTTAGTGGAGGCGAACGAGCGCATCGAGGCACGTTATACACAAGCGCCACCTGGCAGTTATTGTCGAAAACGATGGAGAAAAATGCGCGCCAGTCTCGGAGGTGATAAAGTGTAGAACACAAAGCGAGGGGCAGGTGCCGCCACCGTGACGTCGTAGCAAAGCATTGGAAGTAACTTTTGGAGCATCGCATTGCACTGTCAGCGCAGCGCGCTAAAATGCTACATTCTTTAGAGTTACTTGTGTGTGCCTCTTCTAGTATAAAGGCACACATACAAAACTTCGAAGTGATGTTATGGGGCCTCAGATATGCGCAATAATTGCTTTTTAATTGACAATCGCACAACTATGAACGCTACACTTTAAGCAATATTGGTGGGCGCTGCAAATGGGGTTGGCCGTTCGGTGCCGTTTGAGGTATCGTTAGGGTGGACAAACAGACAAACATACAGACAGACAGCCGACCAAAATCTACCTCTATGTTATTTGACTTCCTCGTGGATAACGCGAAGAGCAAGATCTGTTGCTCATTTCGCCGCTTGCAATGTAAATGCCTGTTTATATTTTCCGTTCTATCCACATGTGGGACAGCATAGGCACTCATCACAGCACGCTCTTTTATGTCATGCCAGAATGAAACAGTGTTTGCACCGTGTGAATGCAGGCACAGACAAATCGGCCCTGTGCACGATCTTCCAAGCTGCATTGCGGCTACTCATGCTTGCCTCTGATGCTGTTTACATCATTACTTTGTCAATTACATTGCGATAACAATTACATATTAGCCACGTAGCTTTTGCATGTCATTGATTCTCATCTAATTGAGCGGTTGTGCTCGAACATGTTGATTATAGGTAATTGTTTATTTTAGAGTTTAATAAGGTAACAATTGGTGGTGTGGTTTGCACAGGTATTGCTTCACTATACGTACAGGTATTGCTTCAATACGTACAGGTATCGCTTCACCTTTGTGTGCCATAAAATGTTAATAGATGTCTTAATTGTGTGACCACTGTTCAAAACAAAAAAGTACTGTTCTGGCAAACAAGTCATATCTAACTGTGGGTGCGCTTCCACTGTTTACGCACAAAGGTGGTTTCGCAAATGTGCAGTAGGCGATACACAACTACCCTGCTGCAAACGGCGTGAAATTGTAAGGTGCAAATAAGCCCCAAAAGTGATGACGTGAACGCAAATATTTGACACTTTCTGTGGTGTTTACGAGCACATGCCTTCCCAAAAGGGTATTCAATGAAATACCAGCTGATCAGCACTTACTTTATGAATAAGGTTTTCGTTTTTTTTTCACGCACACGAGTCTAAAAGTTTGAAGAAATTTATTTGTGTGTTAGTGCTATATAGCGTACGTTTATGACTACCGCCTCAAAGAATTATTTTTTTTGAAATATAAAGAAGAGTAAAAAGTTTCATTTCAAATTAGATGTGCAATAAATCGGAGGGGCTATTTTGTAAGTATTCTATCTAGAACAGGTCAGACATGAAACAGAAGAATGAAAGGGAGCCACACTAGATTGGTCAAGGCTATTCATATGGCCACGACATGAGAATAGCCATTGCATGTGCATATAACGAGTGGAGGCCACATTGCGTCAATAAAATGGAGACAAAATGGCATCCGAACAACAGGAACTCTATTGAAATGAAGCGCTTGAGCCCAAATAATTGAATTAGCTTGTTTTGCACCTGACTTACCTTAATCCTCCTGCAAAAATCACAACAAAATGACTCCTCCGAATTTCAACACCACCTAGCATCTACTCAAGACACAAATAAATGGCTGAAGTCATCCCACTGTGCAATCTCAAGCTTTCAAAAACAATACATAGCAATATTGATGATGTGCTGTATTCATTTTATATATTTTCGTGCGTTGAAAGCATTTCCGAATTCTCTTAGCTTGCCTATAACCTTTTTGATCCCTCTTGTTCTTTCATTCTATCTCCTTCTATTCTAAATACAATGCTTACAAATGAAACCCCATG